GCACCTTGACATATGCTCATGGTCGGTTTGCTTACAAGCTCGTCAGAGTTGTGTTTAGCCAAGTGGTTGTCATAATAGAATCAAAATCTGTTTTCATTGAAGTGCAACAGGTTTGAAACCTGTTGAATCTTGCATTTTTTTGTTCTATTAGAACATGCCTTGAATATTTGCTCATAGACAGCATCCCAGATGCTGATCTTCATTGGTCTTAGTCTTATTCCATGAAATCACACCTTGACATTTCCTCATGAATGATATACATATGTTTTTGTTTTTGTTTTTTTTTCCTGTTAGAACACACCTCAACATGGACTCATGTGTGCTTTCCTGAGAGCACCATCTTGCTGGTGGTGTGATTTCATAAAACAAAAATAGTATTATTGGCGGGTTTCAAACCTGTGCAGTCCAAGAGAAACAGATTTTGACTCTGATAATCACTTGTAATTTCATCTTTAGCAGGTTTTGAACCCACACAGACAGATTTGAATTCTATTGTGTCAACTGCTTAGCTAAGACCGGTTAGATGCACTCCAAATGTGCCCATTCAGAAGTGAATACTCAAGGTACATTTAACTGCATTTTGTCAGTTCTAATATTAATTTCCAACATCTCCCTTAAGTTCAATCATATGTGATCCTTCCATTGTCGGTTGTCACTCATGACCCAGTTATAAAGAATAAGTTTATTGGACGTGCATCTCACTGGTCTTAGCCAAGAGGTTGATACAACAGAATCTAAATCTGTCTGCATGGGTTCAAAACCTGCCAAAGATGAAATTGTCAAGTGATTACCAGAGTCAAAATCTGTTTCTCTTGGACTGTGCAGGTTTGAAACCTGCTGATGATGAATGTTATTTTCTATAAAAACACCTTGACAATAACATTTTTATTTTTATTGTATGAATAATGAAATCACACCTTCACATTTCCACACGAATGTATAGCAAGCAAACACTGATGATCTCAAGCTTGATTGACATTGCTGTTGGTTTCATGCATCCTTTTTTTGCTAGGTGAATGCGAGTATTTTTGACATAGAGTTCGATATATGACCAAAATCTCGATGCAAACTCGGAAGGATAAGCATAAGAACAATTTAATTATTTCTAAATGTCTTGACTCTGTTGAAGAAGAAGAAGAGCAGATTACACATCAAACTTGCAAGTCTCATCCTAATGACCTGGGGAATGAGGAAAAATACAAATATATCAAGGCTGAGATTGTGTGCCTTGAGGATTCACTTTTGAATGAGTTCATTGGAAGTGCATTCAACTAGTCTTAGCCAAGCAGTTAATACAACAGAATCTAAATCTGTCCGTGTGGGTTCAAAACCTGCTAAAGATTAAATTGTCAAGTGATTGCCAGAGTCAAAATCTGTTTCTCTTGGACTGACTATGTAGGTTTGAAACCTGCCAATGATAAAATTCATTTTTTTTCTATGAAAACACACCTTGAAATTTGCTCATGGTCGCTTTGCTTGCAAGCTGATCAAAGTTGTGTTTAGCCATGTGATTGTCATAACAGAGTCATGTTCATCCTTTGTCCATCCATTCCATGTCCATTCGGTGTAGGGATTCATTTCTGGCTGGGCTTGTAGAGACTGTTTTTACCTTACCTTATGTTGGCACTTTTGTAGCTTACATAAGCAAGTTATCTTTTCACCAGTTATCAGTATGAGTCTGAGTCTTCAGCAGTTTTTCATGATATTTCCTCTCCTCTGAGCCTTGAGCCTGGTCCAGAAACCCTTTAGGGTCGAATAGCAGCTAGGTTCTGCAAGACCCAACATTGTTCAGACTCACTCTCTGAATTGTTGTACCTTCATCAGTTCATCGGTGCATATTTCTATTCTATTTCTGTGAATTCTGACAGTATTGCTGGTGCTATGCACACACATTCCATAATGCTATGTCATGGACCCTTATATTACATATTATCATGCACTCGCTTCGCTTCTCAGTGTACTTTAGCGCTTAACATTACTTACATAGTTCATGTATGTTTTTCTCTCTTGACAAATTAACCACCATCATCTTGCTGTGATGCTCAGAACCGCGCTGGGCAGGAATGAGCCTATTTTTATATATGCATCAAGGAGTATAGAGCACTATCAGTTTCCCTATCCTTGTTCATCATTTGTCCAACAATTAACTCCTGTGCAAACCAGAACCTGCACTTTCCTGTGCACTAGACAGTATAAGTTGACTATACTTAGGACTACTACTACATTACTTCCCTCATACTGTATACCTCTCCCTATAGGTTTACCTTTGAAGTAGTCCCTTGTGGTACACACTTTTTAGCCCCTATTAGGTCCCCCTTCAACTCATCTAGAGTCGCTGTGCTCCAACCACCTTGCATGTGTGCCTCACATCTGCTTAGCATGCACCAATGCATAGTAGCACTTCCGCTTAACCGCGCTCCACACATCATTGTGCACCTAACTAGGCTTGACTAAGTGTCTGGTTCAGTCACTTGCAATGTTTTCCCTCAGCTGAACAGATGAATTGAAAACAGACTGCAATACAACACTTTCAAAAAGCGAGAGAAGAGCAGGTCTCAAATACAGTGCACCTCAATCTTATACATAAGCAAATAGTGGCCAGATGGCTCTTTTGAATCTTTGCCTTGAATCTTTGCCTTGACAGATGTGTATTCTTCCTCATTCCCCAGGTCATTAGGATCAAACTTGAAAGTTTGATGTGTAATCTGCTCTTCTTCTTCAACAAAGTCAAGACCTTTGGAGAGAATTAAATTGCTCTTGTACTCATCATTCCAAGTTTGCATCAAGGATAAAAGAATCAACAGTGACCATGCTATTGAAAGAACTGACAAAATGCAGATGAACGTGCCTTGAGGATTCACTTCTGAATGAGTTCATTGGAAGTGCATTTTACTGGTCTTAGCCAAACAGTTGATATAACAGAATCTAAATCTGTGTGTGTGGGTTCAAAACCCGCCAAAGATGAAATTGTCAAGTGATCACCAGAGTCAAAATCTGTTTCTCTTGGACTGTGCGGGTTTAAAACCTGCCAATGATAACATTTTTATTCCATGAAATCACACCTTGACATTTCCTCATGATTGATATATGTTTGTTTTTTTCCCCGTTAGAACACACCTTGACATTGACCCATGTGTACTTTCCTGAGAGCTTCATATCACTGGTCTTAGCCAAGTAGATGCAACAGGGTCAAAATCTGTTTCTTTCAAACCATGCAGGTTCAAAACCCGCTTGCAAAATATTTTGCAGTGTATAGATTCTCAGAGACCTAAGTCCCAAGTGCAAGCAAATAGAGACAGTTAGACATTTTGGAGTATTCACCAAAGTGATGCCATTTGTGTCAGTTTTATCTTTTTCAATGCAACCTAGGTGTGACCGCTTTGTACTAGTTTTGCAGCAGAATGTGGCGAGAATGCTTCTGTTGCATCTATACATTGTGTTCTGTAGCTGGGAGTATCCTTCAGCATGACATAAAAATAAAATGATGAAAATATACCAGCAGTGTTGGATTGGACAACAGATGGATGTGTAATGTATGTATGTAGGGCGCACACAGAAATGCAGTGCTTGGTATGGAACAGGATGTGATTTCATAAAATAAAAATGTGATCATTGGCAGGTTTCAAACCTGCACAGTCCAAGAGAAACAGATTTTGACTCCGATAATCACTTGTAATTTCATCTTTGACAGGTTTTGAACCTGTCACATACAGATTTGGATTCTGTCTTATTAACTGCTTGGCTAAGACCAGTTAGATGCACTCCCATTGAATCCATTCAGACGTGAATCCTCAAGTTATATTTATCCTGCATTTTGTCAGTTCTAACATTAATTTATAACATCACCCTTGAGCTCAACCATATGTGATCCTTCCATTATCAGTTGTCACTCGTGACCCGGTTGTTAATCCCAAAACATCACAAACATCATTGGCCCACCGTGGTGGTCTGCCGTCAGCGCTTTTTTTGAGCAATTGCTGGATAAACAGGTCTTGAAGTAGAGGCCCAGGAGAAGTCTGATGTTTTTTGCGATAAGAGCAGAATAAAAGAATCAATTGTGGTGACCATATTATTGAAAGAACTGACAAAATGCAGATAAATATGCCTTGAGGGTTCACTTGTGAATGGGTCCATTGGAGGTGCATCTAACTGTTCTTAGCCAAGCAGTTAATATGACAGAATCTAAATCTGTCTGCGTGGGTTCAAAACCCACCAAAGATGAAATTGTCAAGTGATCACCAGATTTAAAATCTGTTTCTCTTGGACCGTGCAGGTTTGAAACCTGCCAGTTGCAACATTTGTTTTCTATAAAAATGCACCTTGAAATATGCTCATGGTCTGTTTGCTTGCAAGCTGATTAAAGTTATCTTTAGCCAAGTGGTTGTTGCAACAGAATCAAGATCTGTTTCTATTGGAATGCGACAGGTTTAAAACCTATTGAATATCACATTTTTCTATGAGAATGTGCCTTAAATGTTAGCTCATACACAGCATCTCAGACATTGATCTTCATTGGTCTTGGTCAAGTTGTCACCAGATTCAAAATCTGTTTCTCTTGAACTGTGCATATTCGAAACCTGCCAACAACAACATTTTTGTTCTATGAAATTAAACCCTGATATTTCCTCGTAGATAGTTTTCTTCAAAACCCATCATAAATGCTCTTTTCCATATCATTGCCACAATAGATTCAAAATATGTTTCAATCATAGCCTACAGGTTTTTAATCAGTCAAATAATGCATTTCTCAGATTTTGAATCTGTTATGGCAATAACATGGCCAAGACCATTTAAGATGAGTTTTTGAGAAAGCTCTTCACTAGGAAATGTCAAGGTGTGATTTCATAGGATAAAGATATTATCATTAGCAGGTTTCAAACCTGCACAGTTCAAAGAGAAACAGATTTTGACTCTGGCAACAACTCAGCTAAGCCTGATGAAGATAAGGGTCTGAGATACTGTCTATGATTCAATATTCAAGCCATTTTTTATAGAAAAACATGTCGAGCACATATCCTGCCAATCTCATAGGTATCTCACATTATACTCCTCAGCACTCCTCTTACCTTCCAAGAGTTAGACACAGACTTCTGCCGGGGCTCTTAACTCCAAGACCTGTTTACCTAAGGGCCCATTCGGCAACCAGTCGTTTGCGTCCATTTCGTTTGTTTTCATTTGTTTGCGTCTGTTTTCATTTGAAACGGCAAAACATGTTCGGCAACATGTTCGTTTCGTTAAAGGCCTGTCACACTGCTGCATAATGTGGCATCGCACTAGTACTTGTTTGTTCTCTTGTCAACTGAATATCCCACTGTCCCTACTCTGTTTACTACTGTTACTACCCACCATGCGACCTAAGAAAATAGAACACTCTCTTTCATCTGATACCAGGGAGCCTGAGAACACCAATCTACTGCAACCTTAAGAGCAGGCTAGTACTACCACGAAGATCCCACGGAACGCGAAGTGGAGTTCTGGGGATGATGCAACACTCATCGACTCTCTCAAGGCTTTTGCTGATGGAAACACGGCTGATAATGGAACCTTCAAGACTGCAGCATTTACAGCTGCTGCAAAGGCCCTCAAAGACAGTCACAAAGTCAGTGGAGGTGCTTCGAAAACTGCAAAGAGCTGCTCACATCGTTGGAGCACGGTAAGTAGTATTTTTCCTTCATTTTCGTGCTGATATACTGTTTGTAGTTGAAGGCCAACTGTCTTATTGTCCAAAAACTGCGAGAGCTGTCTGGATTTGGATGGGACGAGACGAGGAAGATTGTCATTGCCAGTGACAAAGTGTGGGATGATTATCTTCAGGTGAGCTTTCACTCGTTGCTTATTTCTTGACTACATTACTGTTCAGGTCCATTCCGAAGCCAAGGTTTGGCGTTCAACACCATTCCCCCTCTATGATGACATCATTGTGCTCGTGGATGGATGTCATGCAACTAGTGAAGGAGCTCTACATATTAATAGTATCAATGGGTACGAGACTGGGTACGAGACGAGCCCTCCATGGCCAAGCACACTTCTCCTTGATGATGAAGATGATATCTTTGTTGGTGAGGATCCACTCAGAGGGAATCATGAGTCTGAATCAGCTGATGAGAACGAGAAAGTGGTATGTACTTCAACTTGCTTGCTTCGTTGTCTGACATGTATTTATCCTAGTCTACACCTATTTTTCATACTCCACGTGTTCCAAAACGCGGCCATGCTCCTTCAGTATCACCAACTTCAACTGGAGTCCATAAAAAATGTTCTAATGTGAAGCTGACTGGTCCAGCAGCAATTCTCGGAGTAGCTGATGCTCTTGAATCTGTTGCTATGTCATTCACTGCTCATACTAGCTTTCTTGATGATGTTCCTAGTACTCCGAAATGTCGTATTAATGCTATCCAGGCTGTTTGTGTTGATACTTCCTTATCTTCTGACGAATGTGCCAGTGTTGTTGCTCTTTTTGCCAAGGATGTAGCTATTGCAGATGCCTATACTGCCATTTCAGATATCTCTCTCCGTTCTATGTACATTCGTCTTGAACTCGGAAAAACATAGATAGATCTACCTAGTTCTCATTCATAGTATACTCAATATACTGTGCCCACATTGCTTCTGCTATGTCATCTCGTTTTTGTCCTACCCTTGCCCTTTCTGCTGGTGTGATTGTATGACCGAAATCCTCAGCTCTCTGCTGTACAACCTGAACAGCCTGATTAGTGTCCACCTCTGCCTCTTCACCTTCTTCCTCAGCATCATCTGGATCATGAACACGAATAAAATTGTGCAAGACACAGAGGGCAGGAACCAGCTTTGTCTGTACCACAAGACTGTATTTCTGGGGCAGCAACCATTAGCCGAAATCAACGCTTTACCACACCAAAAATGCGCTCAATAACATTTCGGGCTTGGGCATGGCGTAAGTTGAACAATTCTGGAGGATTTTTTGGTCTAGTTATTTTTTAGCATTTTTTGAATGGTTATCAATAGAAAAAAAACATACCTTTGATTTGAACAACCCCATTCCTTGAGGTGGTAGCGTACACCACGATATGGAACCAGGAGTGAGTCACATAATGGAAACCCTGCATCAGCAAGGTAGCAGAGATTTGGGGGAATGGGAAAGTCTGTCTGCCGAGCATTATTGTATATGCGGCTGTCAGCTGCACTTCCCTCCCATCCTGCAAGAACATATGAAAAGCGCATGTCAAATGTGCATGCAGCAAGGACATTCTGTGAGAGGCGGCCCTTTCAATTGCGGTAGCGAGCAGTCAGGGCATCATTGGGAACAAAAGTATCAATGTGTGTCCCATCAATTGCACCCCGGCAGTATTGGAAAAATGGGTAGAGCTTGGGATTACCGTGAATTTCAGGGGGGACTATGTCATTGGGTGGCAGGTGGATGTAGCATTGATAAAATCGTGGTGACACTACCATGTCTAGAAGACGAAGAAAAATCCTAATAGTACAGTCACAGTAATAAATTAATTTTGTTGCATTTTAAATAATAATGTGGGCACTCACTTTGAAATAGTATCTGCACTATGCTGAAACCTTTCTTGCATGTCCCTATTGGTACATCAGGAAAATACCATTTGACTACAGGTGGCTATATAGTCGCTGTAGTACCTGTAGTCCCGTTTGTCAAGTCCCTTCTACATGTGGCTATATAGCCACGCGGCTCGCTATGAGAGTCACTGGTAGCTTGTCATAGCAAGCTACAGGAGGCTACAGGCTACTAACACTAGTAGGACCTGATAGTTACGAGGCCAAAAGAAATGTCACCAGTGCTCACATCAGATGATTTTCACACGTTATAATGTACAATTGGTAGGAATTGAACCCAACACCTTGAACAATTATAAGTGCATCATTTTTACAACTAGGCTACAAGACTACTTGTATATTCTTACAATAATAGAAATATATACCAATGCAATATGACAATATTGCGAAAATTCCATCAAGTCAATTATCACACGGTTCAACGAGTCCAAAATGGTGGCACGTTAGAGCACCTTCCTTTCGATTGCAACAAGTCCTCGCTCGACACGCCAACTCCACCGCAAGGTGGCAAGTGATTTTTATTTTAACGAGTTCAAATATTGACGGCAAGATGTTTGGTGTGTCTGTCATAAGTAGTTTGTAGACAGGTTAATATCACACGAGCGCTGTAGCTGCCTGGAGTGACCTGTAGCAAATATTTCTCCAGCTGACTCCTGTAGTAGCGGTGACTTTGGCTATATAGTTGTATGTAGCTTGAAGGGTGCCTACATAGCACTACTGTGGCTACAGTAGCTTGAAGGGTGCCTATATAGCGCTACAGTGGCTACAGTAGCTTGAAGGGTGCCTATATAGTGCTACTGTGCCTATATAGCTCTATGTAGCTGTCACCAGGGCTACAGCATTTTGAGTTTTTTACTGATGTACCTCCTGTACAGCAGATTCGAAGAAAAATTGCCAGCTGTTCTTCAGAAGAGATATATCTTGAGTGTCCAAGGCCTGCATATTCACTGAGCTCATGGAGCAATCGGCGAAATACTGGCTTAGATAGGCCCATCATATTATGAAAGCGATGGGGATGTCCTGATAAGAGCTCCCGAACCCATCCATGCCCTGTCAAGATAGAGTTATGCTGGGGAATCTTGTTGATATAGGGCAAGGTGGCCACAGCCACTGCAGCAGCTGAAAATGCAGCAGCTAGCACTGCAGCTCTCTTTCTGCGAGTGTGTGTTGCCTTAAGAGAGGTTTTAAGGGCCTTTCTTTTTTGTGATGATGAGGAGGTCATAGCTATAGAGCTCGAGTAGCAAACTGATGGTTATCATTCATTATCTGATGTAGTATCTACAGAGTTCGTGCAAGTGTGACAGTGTGTGACACCCGTGGGAGCTCTGTTTCACTTCAATGTCCATTTGTTTCAAAATGAAACAGACACAAACAACCAGTTGCCGAACGGGCCCTAACAATTTTCTTGAAAAAGTGCTGATGGCAGACCATCACGGTGGGCTCATGAGCGAAAACTGACAATAAAAAGATTGCACAGTTGAATCCAAGGTGGATGTTAGAAATTGATGTTTGCACCCAAGCAAATGTCGCAATTGGCAGGTTTAAGCAGGACAAAATAAATAAATGATGATTATGCTATTGAAAGAACTGACAAAATGCAGATAAATGTGCCTTGAGGATTTGCTTCTGAATGTATTTATTGGGAGTGCATCTAACTGGTCTTAGCCAAGTGGTTAATACAGCAGAATTTAAATCTGTCTATGTGGGTTCAAAACCTGCTGCAGATGAACTTGCAAAGTGATCACCAGAGTCAAAATCTGTTTCTCTTGGACTATGCAGGTTTGAAACCTGCCAGTGATATAATTCATTTTCTATGAAAGCACACCTTGAAATTTGCTCATGGTCAGTTTGCTTGCAAGCTGATTACAGTTGTGTTTAGCCAAGCGGCTGTTATCGCAGAATAAAAATCTGTTTCCATTGGAGTGCAACAAGTTTGAAACTCGTGGGATGTCACATTTTTTCTATAAGAACATGTCTTGAATATTTGCTCATACACAGCATCTCAGACATCAATCTTCATTGGTCTTGGTCAAGTTGTTGCCAGATTCAAAATCTGTTTCTCATCACTGACTGTCTGCCCTCTGGGGGCTTTGACTCAGTCACAGTCATGGTAGACCATGACCTTATGAAGCAAAGAATTATTACTCATTATAAAAAGATTTCACATCAGAAGGAGTAGTCAAACTCTTTTTTAAGAATGTCTTCAAACATTTTAGATTCCACAATAAGGTTATCTCAGATTGTGGTGTAAAGAGTAGATCCTGTGTGGACACTTAGAAAGTGATCACCTCAGAACTCAGAGTGCAAGTGTAAGTCATCCCAAAGAGACTGCCTGCAGAACTACCTCTTAAAATATAAGTGCAGGGAGGTCTGTTAAGATCGAGAATGAGAGAATGGAAAGTCACCCAAGGTGCTTTCGAAGTTCTGAAGATGTGTCAGTATGTTGAAGTATGTCTAAGTATAAGACTTGCGAGAGTACCAAAGTACAACTATGCAAAGTCTATCAAAAGAACTTGAAGATATCATGATGCGAAATGGCAGTGGTCAAGCCAAACAATCATTCTAAATGAATAAGAAGGATCGATTGTGCGAAGTACAACTATCCGAAAGTGACTCTACTAACTATGACTCATAGCAAGGGAAGTGAAGTGAAATGCGAGTAACTAGTGAACCAGATTATATCCTACAGTGTGAATGTCTGGAAACTGCGTAGGCAAGAACAGTAGCAAGATAAGCTATCCAAAATGGAATAAGACTTGAGGCGAGCTGCTACAAAGATATGCATGTAATAGCACTGTCTTACTAGGATGTGATTGGCAATAAAATCACCAGTTCTCACTATCCTCCATGGTCAATGGTTCAGACAAATACCAATGGTTGATAATGTGGTCGTTCGTGGGAGGAGGTGTAAAAGTTGGGTTTGTCAAATCAAGCAAATTCCTAATGACTTTGAAAAGGATGAGATTAAGATAAATCTCAGGAACAGTAACCGTTAACTGGCTTGATGCAGTACTTAGGACACAGATGATAAGGATTGATGATCAATGGTGTAGCCGAATTGATAACTGGCTTGATGCAGTGCTACGATGCTACAAGAAGATGGTTGCAAAGATATGCAAAGATAAGATGAAGAATATGGATCACGACAATTCCACTCAAATATCTGACTAATCCATTTCATGAGAAATGCTGAATAATCTGTTGTGGTATGTTTGGAACTGATCTTTGAACCAGATAAGTATTAATTTGAACAGTTAAGTTGTATTGTAAGGTCTTCAGGTCTGAAAATTACTCAAATAAAATCATAACGTGGTGTAAAAAGTTCATAGTAATTTCATAGAGCAAATATAAGGAACTTCAAAGCTAAAAAGTAGCCATGACCATGCACAAAACCGGTGTAGAAACAACAATACAGAGAGGAACAAACAATGCTCCTGACTGTATCTGTAATTGTTGTAAGGTCGCGTGTTGCCTAGTCTGCTATACTTGAGACGACAAGTGCGTTCGACCCTAAAGGGGAAGCAAGTGCAGCAAGGATCTGGTAGTAGGCGCTGAAGGCGCTACTGGTTGGCCAATGCGAAGCGCGGGAAAGCGGGCAGGTGCGCACGAGGCGCGGGAAAGCGAAGGTGCGCGCGAGGCGTGGGAAGCGCGCACGTGAGCGATAATGAGAGAGAGTAAGAGTGAGTTTGCTTAAGTGGTGATTAGATACTAGACAAGAGATACGAGCGCGAGGTGTCAAAGAATAGATTTCTACTATGTTCTCCTAGGTAGTATGTGGGTGGTAAGTGGGAGGTCAAGTCCCTCTCCCTTGGTAGGTAATGCTGGCGCTTATATGGCGCCTAAGCGCTGTCATGCGGAGCCGAATCGCTACCGAGTAAGGTATGTAAAGATATATGTATGTAAGTAAGGGTCCATGATATAAATAAAGGTGGAATGATATGTAAATAAGGGAAATGGAAATACACGCACTAGAGAGCTTGGTGGACAGTGGATGGATGCTTCCAGAAGGCTGGCGCTATAGGGCGACCAAGCGCGCGCGCGTATACATCGTAAAGCACGGGAATGGTGCGCGCATGGTGCGCATTGCACGGGAAAGCTGCGCCTCATATAGGGATAGCTGCAGATAGCACACAGAATGGTGCTGCAAGTTCGTGCAATGAACTCCCTAGTGAAAAGTGCCATATCACACCATGAGAGGCATGAGTCTCTACACCGGTTTGGTGCATGTCATCCGCAGGGAACAATGAATAAATTGTCCCCGATTTGCAAAGTGGAATGAAAAGAAAAGTAAGAAAACAAGTGACAAAACATACATATTGTAATGGTTTAATATGGAAACAAGTATCTGGTAGTAGGTAGTAGCTAAAGGTATAATATATATGGCTTCTAGCTTTGCAAGTCTTTTTCCTGCCCATTGGGGAAGATCAAGAGCCAGCACAGAGAAAATAAAAATACTTCTTTGCATTAGAGCCCAGACGTTGGTGTGGTACTCGAATGCGAAGAAACAGTCTCTTACTTATTATCTATTTCCTGACTAATTTCCTGGTAAGAAACAAGTGTTGCTCTTCCCAGGCAAATTAGATAGAAAAGAGATAGTTGTTAAGACCATGCACAAAGGGTAGGACTGATTCCAAGGGGCTTGGCTTCAGCTCGTGCGCTGTGCCCCTTACCCAAGTATGTGCCCTTAACTTCAGAATGAAGTCTGGAGAAAGTCCAGTGAAGTCCGAAGGACTTCCAGAGAAGCGTGGGAAACTTCAGAAGGACTTTCCGGACAAGTGCAAGAAACTTCCGGATGAGTGCGGGAAACTTCCGGAGGAACTTCCAGAAATTACGATGGAGTTTCGTCCTGACAGGGATATGTGTAATGGCTACTCAGGACGAGTCCTGAGTAGAAGGAAACAGAGGAAAGGCTGCAAGGACAAAGTCCGAAGCAGAATAGGTCCGGAGGACCGTGGGAAAGTTCCGGAGGAACTCCCGGAAACTCGGAGGAATGGAGGAGTGGAGGAGCGGAGGATCGGAGCTCCGGCCTAGGGAATTCCTCCCTAGGCCTGAGATGGATAATGACTAAGTCGGAGGACTAGAACTGTTATGAGGACTTAGGGTGAAGGCTAGTGCGAGGACTAATATGTGTAATATTCAGACTGAGGAAGTACAAAGATTCTACAGAGTTTATATACTACAGAGGACTTAACAGAGAGTCAGTCAGTGCAGTCCAAAGCTATGCGAGGCTGTGGACGGAGGATGTAGAAAAGTCAAACACTAGTCTATCAGAAAATAGTAAATGAAGACGGAGATGAAGACATAGGAAAATAAAGCCAGAAATGAAACGAGGTACGGAAAATGAGGAAGTCTAACTCAAGAAGGAACATACAAAGGGATAAGGCACGGAAGATAGACGCGGGTCGGATCTGGATGTCTGGAGATGAATGCGTGATAGGTCCGGGTCCGGAACACGGGATATGACACTAACTTGAGAAGGAACATACAAAGGGAAAAGGTAAGGAAGATAGACATGGGTCGGATCCAGATGTTCGGAAGTCCGGAGACAGGTGATTACCATAAGGGGATGGGCGCTGATTTAAGGTTTGGGTTCGGACATGACAGATAGGTCGGATCCGGAGATCCGGAGATGTGGATATCAGATCTGGCGTCCGGATATCAGATGCAGGAGTACAGGGATCCGGACAGATAGAGGATTGGGTCTGGAGACAGGGACAGGAGGTCCGGATGAGGCATGGGAACGTCGTCGGATGTTGGTCCAGAATGCGGGATATGACAATAGTCTACACCGTGGTTCTTCTAAGGATAGTGCGAAGGACTGATAGAATGGGTCAAGATATTATAGTGTCACAAAATCTAGTCCTCTTATATTCCAATTTCTTTTGGGGCATGGACCATTCAGCGATTTCCATGTGTGGCTGACAGGATGGACGAGTTTGGATATAACTGTTGCATGGTTTCTTAGGCTAGTTGAATCTTCTCAGCATGTTATTCATAACTGGAATTTGCCGACATGGTGGGAAAAGGAATCCGCATAGAATTGATTGATAATAGTTAATTTTTAAAAGAAAATTTTCATGTGAAAGCAGCGAGTCTATCTTTTATAGGACTTTTTCTCATTTCCCCATTATATTCGGGTCAGATATTGCCATACTCCTCAAATAATTCGCCTTCGTAGTGTTGAGATGATGCAATTTTGATACCACTATTAGCTGAAGCTCTCATTGATAGACTATTAATGTTGTTTAAGGTGCAAGATTGTTGGTCATGGAAAGAAACATTCTCATGTATGAGGGGTCTTTGAGTAAGTTGATTAATATTAAGAATATGTTTTATAAGACCTTCATTGCACGGTGGTTATTTGTGAAGAGATAATAGAGATGCTTCTTGTGTTTCTAGGATAAGCGGCTTTAGTGGAAAATTAGCAGTCCAACAGGGCTTCCTTAAGTGTAGGCAGAAATATTTGGGAGATAATAGTTGTCATCGTATGATATTTTATTGAGGAAAAACTCGCAGTCTAGTGCAGTATGAAATTTGAGTGGCGCTTGTAAGGCACTTAACTAGCAATTCTATTGTGACATAAGAATATTGCTAATGCTAGATCGCTGGCGTCAGTGTGAAGAGTAGACACGTTCCACCATGTCCAATGCATAAACAAGATCAAGGGTGCTTGCCAATCCAAAGGGTAACTCTTCCACTTCTTCTGTAATTTCACTATTTTCCTCATCATCCCCTGTCCTGCAATTGGGCTGATTAAAGAGGAGGAGATCTAGTGATGTGAAATAATTTGGTCTCAAATGCTCCAGGTATTTAAGTTTGAGGCGCCAGAATATGGATAGTTGAATAAAGTGGGTAGGAATGGTCAATACAAGTGGGACCGCTTTTCCAGGACCTTGCCTGCAAATTTTGATATCTGCCCATCCTTCTCTGAGCTGGCTAATCCCAATGAATTGTCTGCTGTAGCTCTGTGCAAATACTGACATGTCATCTAGATGAACAATGTCATGGAGGCGGATATGCTCCTGAGAGTAGATGTGGACGTGACTGGCTATCCAGTGATGCTGAAAGAGCTGGGTACCAGGGTAAGGAGTAGTGGTAATGTATGCTTGAACATCTAGGGGTGCAGCATTGTGCATGTCGAATTTTCCATAGGAGTTGTTCATAGTGGGTTAAGAATGAATAGTATGAGTTAGCTCAGCCAAAGTTGTCAATGGCCTGTGACTGGCAGAGTTCTTTGAAGTGGGTGCGAAGCACGATGTAGAAACAACTATACTGAGTGGGGCTATATGAAGATGGCTCCAAACTGATATATTTGTGTTGTGGTCTTTGCACTGCCTAGTCTGCTATACTTGCCTGACAAGTGCGTTCGACCCAGGGGTCTGCAGTCTGGGAATAGTCTTGGGGATAAGTGAGCGATGTGAGATCAATAGTCCGAGCACGGGAAACAATGTCCAAAGGTATAATTACGATGTCCGATGCAAAAGCGTCGGGTCCGATGTTTTCGGGGTTTCGGGTTATTGGGTTCGGGTTCAGGGTGTCGGAACTAATAGTGACGCGTTATGCGAGCGTCGGAAGAGCGAGCGGTGTGCGCAATAATAACTATGACTGATATGGATAATGAAAGAGCGATGATATTCGCAATATCAACTAAGAACTACGAATTATCGGGTTTGACCACTAAGCGTCGGGGAACTGCTCCCCTCTACCTGGATAATGAATAATGCTCGAGGTCAGTCCAATATATATGTAAGTACGTAGAAATGCGGAACCCGTAGGCGAAAGTAGCGGCGGAGTATTTCGGATCCGAAGTACATGTAAATAAACATGAGGCGCTGCGGACTATGGGAAAACATGTAATAGCGCTGGCTACGACGTGAGTAATGTGCGAAATAATGAACTACACACCTAGTGGGGCTAGCAAGACAGGACGGGACACGGATAGGACAAGTGCGCGGGAAAACATCGGGTCTGATGCGGCCTAAACGTCGGGTTGGCGGGTTAGCGTCGGATAACATTGGGAAGTGATTAGCATGTGACGGGTATTTGACGTGTACTGTAAAATAGCTCGATACGAGCCCAGCGCCAGCTCGTGTCCTACAACGACTAGTTTTGATTTCCATTTGATCGGCTGCTGACATTGAGCCTAATCCTAGTCAGGAAATTTCCCTGACAGTGTTTTAGAATAACATAACCCGATGAACAGATATTAAGTTGGTAATTAAGAATTTGTTCCTTGTAGGGTGGCATTTAGGCGATTATATATTTTCAAGCCATATTCGGCAAGGTTCCAACTTGTTCAGTGATTCCTAAGATTCATCCATAAATCTGGTAGCAGATAACGCAGTCCTGAAGAATGTGTTCTTTCAAACCAATGTTCCATAGGTATATAATATTAGCTAAACAATAATAAGAATATCTGTGGTCTGTACTAATATGAAGAAATAAAGTGACAAGCAATTGATGAAGCACAAATTCCACTGTGTTGCGATTTGAGAAATTGTTAAGAAGCTGATAGTATGAGAATGGAGGCATGACAGATATTATCTAATCTGAAATGGTACTACTATTTATGAGATACGTGATATTGATTTGTCTGGTGAAGAATCAGATATCTTCAGGGGTGTTTTGGAAGCAAGCTGTTTTAGCTGAATTGCATATTGCGTATAGATGTAATTGAAAACAGCCAGCTATGTTTCTCAATATGTAGAAGGAAAGAACGACTGCCAAGGTAGCAAATAATGTCTGTTGAAAATAGAGGAAGCCAAATTAGCTAGGTATAACGATAGTGATGTGGTCGCGAATCAACAACTTTGAAGTAGTAATCGTCGTCCTCTAAGAGGTTCTCTGGTATCCCTTTACAAGATCCTTCTGGATATTCTGCTGCCAGTGAATCTAACACTGCTTGAAGGTCTCCTTGCACTGTCTGGGGGTATACTGGCTCCAGCTGGGAACTTGTGAGAATTGCAAAAAGTACCAAATTTGACCAACTTTTACCATAGAGCAATGATAGAAATGTGTAATCTTGAGCTGAAGTTGCTGATATGCACATTTAAGGCGCCAGTGGAATGGGAGTTGAAAATAGTGAAGAGGCATAGTAAGGGTGATTGGAGGAATTGGACCATCAGACCTGTCCTTCTGGACTCGTATATCCACACATCCTCCCTGTACTCCTAATATCTTGTCAACTACTCCGGTATAGTGGTACATGAGCTGTACTTGGTCTTCTAACACCAAAATGTCCTTGAGCTGAATTGGTCGACTGGAATGGGACTGAATGTAAGTTGGTATCCAGTGATTCTGACTGAGCAGTGTTCCTGGGTATTCCTGGATAGCGCAAGTAGCATGAGTGAGAGGGAGTGTCATATTGCTAGCGGTACTGAATTGTGGAGTTGGATTGATTGGAGATACCGCTGTCATAGATGAAAGACTTATAAAGGCTTAGGATAGGGTTTGAAAGGAAAATAGGGTAGTCCTATTGGAATTAAGTTGCTGATGGTTGATTTGAAAAATTGTGTCGATGTAATCGGTGTTATGCTTGCATATTGTTTACGAAATAATGATGTCATTAATAGTGTCCTTATGATGTTCCTGAATTTTTGAATGTATTGGATGTCATTCAAATAGTGTTTTTCAGGTCCAAAATTTTGCATTTTGATTTGATGTAGACTTGACAAGTGCCGCTATTACATTTTGACAGTTGACTTGGCGATTTGTGAAATGACAATGTCGTTTTGACGCTTCACATAAAGGCTGGTAGAATTCAAGGAGTTGAATTGGCGCCTAAGTCATTTAAAATATTTTGACATAGCTTAAATGGTATCTCCTCCTTTGGAATATTCAGGTTCATTGAATTGGAACCGTCGATGAAATGCTTTAATTGAATAGATTGAACAGGCTAAATGTATTATCCTGTATCCCTGAAAGAATTTCATTAAGACTTAATAATTTTGTGAGACTTATAGGAGCTTCCACTATAAAGTCCCACACAAATAATATGTCTTTGGCTCTAATAGCCCCTTCAAATGCATACAAACAATTGTAGGTAATGTTGTCATGAAATAAATCAAGTCTTGAGCTTAGTACGTCATACAGCAAAGAACAACAAACAAACATGAATCGCAGGGAACAATGAACTGATACTAAGGGATGCATAACACACGAAACAAAACACTACTAATGTAAGTTCTGATAGGACAAGAACCTATAGTAGCAAACAAGAAACATCAACAAGCAGGATCAAGTAAACAATGATGGACAATACATTTGCAAACAGCGAGTCCAAACAAGAACACATTGATGCACTGATGGCCAAGACGAGGATGAGCGATGTGCATTATCTTGATAAACAAACGCAAATGTTAGACTTTCTGTTAACCAACCCAAAATAGGGTTACTTGCCAAGAATTGGGAGCCCCGGACCATTGAATACTAATACACTCAAACACAAACAGACAGACAAAAAGACTTGTGTGAAAACGACTGATACGCTCGATGACGAGGACCATGCATGCTAAACGATGATTGGGGAATGCATCTCATGAAGAGAGCGAGTTGAAAAATTATGCGTTCGAGACGCTGTCATAATGCTGTGGGTTGTTAAGACCGTGCACAAAGGGTAGGACTGATTCCAAGGGGCTTGGCTTCAGCTCGTGCGCTGTGCCCCTTACCCAAGTATGTGCCCTTAACTTCAGAATGAAGTCTGGAGAAAGTCCAGTGAAGTCCGAAGGACTTCCAGAGAAGCGTGGGAAACTTCAGAAGGACTTTCCGGACAAGTGCAAGAAACTTCCGGATGAGTGCGGGAAACTTCCGGAGGAACTTCCAGAAATTACGATGGAGTTTCGTCCTGACAGGGATATGTGTAATGGCTACTCAGGACGAGTCCTGAGTAGAAGGAAACAGAGGAAAGGCTGCAAGGACAAAGTCCGAAGCAGAATAGGTCCGGAGGACCGTGGGAAAGTTCCGGAGGAACTCCCGGAAACTCGGAGGAATAGAGGATCGGAGCTCTGGCCTAGGGAATTCCTCCCTAGGCCTGAGATGGATAATGACCAAGTCAGAGGACTAGAACTGTTACGAGGACTTAGGGTGAAGGCTAGTGCGAGGACTAATATGTGTGATATTCAGACTGAGGAAGTATAGAGACTTTACAGGGTTTATATACTACAAAGGACATAATGGAGAATCAGTCAGTGCAGTGCGAGGCTATGTGAGGCTATGGATGGAGCATATAGAAACGTCTAACACTAGTCTATCGGAAAATAGTAAATGAAGACGGAAATGAGAACATAGTAAAATAAAGGCGGAAGTGAAATGAGGTACGGAAAATGAGTATAGTCTAACTTGAGAAGGAACGTACAAAGGGAAAAGGCAGAGAAGATAGACGCAGGTCGGATCCGGATGTTCGGAAGTCTGGAGACAGGTGATTACCATAAGGGGATGGGCGCTGATTTAAGGTTTGAGTTCGGACATGACAGATAGGTGGGATCCAGAGATGTGGATGTCAAATCAGATGTCTGGACATCGGATCCAGGAATTGGGCAAATAGAGAAGCTGAAGGTCTGGAGACATGGATAGGGGATCCAGATGTGTGGATGAGGCATGGGAACATCGTCAGATGTAGGTCCGGAATACGGGATATGACAGGGTCCTTGTATGTTCTAGCAGGACCGGGTTGAAACATCACAAAGTCTTGATGATGCTTGCGTTCATGGAGTGCCAGGATGCTCCCAAGACTTGAGTGAGGCTTGATATTAGTGCAAAAGAGGTTATCGAGGAGAAGTTCTTGCAAAAGGATGTGTACTACATCCTCGTCTGGCACTGTCAGCTGTAGGATGTGGTCAATAATGTTAGAAGTATGTTCATAGCCATAGAAGCGAAAGTAGCCTGCTGCCGATCGTAGATAGGCAGATTCTTGACGAGTAACAAAAGGGTTACAAAAAGGTGATGTCTGCAGAAGGAACGCAGCACAATTGACCCAAGCGGGCAGCACTTTGTCATCTTCAATGAGGATGAGACACATGTCGGTCTCGTTACAGTCTTTAGACTGTTCTGGGGTTAGTGTTGCATGGACCGCTGAGAGAAGGTCAAGATGGATGCAACAAAGGTTTCACCACTCATAGTATCGATTTTCGAGGCGACTCTGTCCTCGTACGACAGCGCCTGGATAGTTAGGCTTATTGTAGTGATAGATTGTAGGTGGGTGAGCGGCTAAGAACTTGGCCTGCTCCGGGCCAACTTTGCATGAGTTATGAGCACCAAGCTCAGAACAAATAAGTGCTGCTGTAAGGTTCAGAGTGTGAATGGAAGTAGGACGAAAGAGACCATTAAATGGAAGGGTGATCCGATAGTCCCGATGTAGAGACTAATATCTCTGTGGGCTTGCAGGGATCTTAGTTCCCATTCTCCAAATCACTTCCTAATATAGCGCGACTCATATCTCACCCAGCGCACTCAAGCGCTTCGTCGCTCGTCCTCCATCCATCCATTTCATGTCCGTTCGGTTCATCGGTGCGTATTCCCAGCTTATTTCCATTTATTCTGACATATCTCCGGCGCTTATGGCCATATTTCATATGTTTTCCGTCATGAACCCTTACATTACATATTATCTCGTATCCGCTTCGCTTCTCGGTTTGCTTTAGCGCTTGACAGCGCTTAACATTACTTAGTATATATACTCGCGCCTAAACTGTATAATGACTATCTTTCTGCCCGCACATCATTGGACTCTAAGTCTAAGTTCTCCCTCATATCTCTTAAGTATCTAAGTAACAAATACGAGTGCCGCCGCCGTACATTACTAGAAACTCTGCCTATTAGTTTTCTGACTCATTAAAAAATCGCTGCGCTCCACCACCCGCACACGCGCACCGCTTCCGCTCAGCGCGCGCTTCCATTATAAGTCACGCATCATCGCTCATTGTCGCCCGCCATTGCTCATCAGCACTTCACGTCGCTTTCGCTCATCGTCGCGCGCCTTACCAGGCTTGACCAAGAGCCCGGTCCAGTGTTTCCCTCCACATATACACTTAGAGGAACCTTCTCAGTAGCAATCCCCTTGGGTCGACACATATCTCACTCATCGAGGACTACTTAAGCTATCTCATATCACTATATAACACCACTACCAATTCCTCTTCTACACTGGCCACAATGAACACCTCGAAAGGGTTCAGGAATGTTTACAGTGTATGTGGGAGGGTCAGCAACCATCGTGTTAGATAGAGGTTCAAATGACAGATAGGCGATGATGTCGGGCATAGTCGTGTATCCTACCATGAGATGATCGGCTGCAATGAGCACGTCGCCTAAAGGAAGGTGGGGGTCGCAGGTTGGCAAATGATAATTGAAAGACATGTCTTCCATAATTTTATCTTCGGGTGTGAGATAATCAGACAAGCTTGTTGAAGACGAGTCGTCGCTAGAGTCAAAGTCGTCGTCTGAACTGTTGATGAAATGATTGGCAATGGACATGGGTAATGTGGGAGCCGGCAGCATAACGAATTGGGACGAGAGGTCAGATGACAAATCATCAGACATAGTTGGCGAAGATGGTGGGTAGCATTCATAGGCCTCAATGTGCATGAAGAGCTGGGATGTCCCAGGGACTCTGAGATTTGTGGGCTGCTGCTGCTCTGAGAACGGTGTGGGAGCACGAGTTGGCGGAACCGGCGCGAATGGTATGTGGCCTGAGTCCATTGGGATGCTAGGGCGAGTGTCTGAGAATGCTTGGGGCTGGTCAGATGTGGGGAGAGAGTAGAGTCTAAATAGTGTACTGAAAACAAGTCTATTAACCGGGTCTCCAGCCTGCATGTGCCCAGTTGCGGGAATAAGGGTGACCTGTGCTGGAGAGGTAATCATGAGGGATTGAGAAGGAACTTGCAGGACCTGGAACGGACCAGGAGTAGATGGCTGAGGTTGCTGCAGAGATGGTGCTGCAGGTGCTTGCAGAAGGAGGGATTCTGAGCCAACCAGCTCAGTCTTGATATTGATTAAAGTTCCCTCTCCTAGGGAGAGGGGAGAAATAGGCCGCCTTCCAATGTGTGGGGGGGATGGCAGAGGCGTTGGAAGTCCAATGTTAGCAGTTGGCGAACTGGGGGAGAACTTACTGTCCTCATGGTTGGCAGAAGTGAGAGCTGCATGGTGCTGCGCGATGGCCCTGCCTAAGTCTGGAAATTCACACTCGAAAAAGGGAGGAGAGGTTGACACTAATAAATCAGAGGGGGCGATGAATTTCTGGTATTCCTGGACAAAGGGTCCAGGGCGGTTGTGCTGTCCAAAGGCAACCAAACAAGGTGACTTGATGTCACATGCATCTTTGGGAAGAATTGGACTTCCAAGTGCTCAACTCATAGGTGGATTGAAATTTGCATTCTTGAGCCTCTCAGCCCACAAATTCCAAAATGCTGGTATCTGGTTGGAAAACAACGCGCGACCTCACAACATTTATAGATACAGTCAGGAGCATCATTTGTTCCTCTCAGTATCATTGAACCTTCAGCGCTACACAATCATATGGTCCTGTGAATGAACTGCCGCCCGTGGCGCACCACTGCAAAGCACTCGTTTCTCTTCCAACCACTCGAGCCTCATCACCTCGTCCAATGAATAAAAAATAATTGCTCGGTTTTCATGTTTGGCTAAAAAGTTCGCGATGGCTAAGCACTCTTTACTGATTAGGTCTGTGTACTTATTGAGTAAAGAAATAGCACTTCCAACGTGCATGGAAGGCTGTGATTGCACCGGCAGCTGTGGTGGCGCTAACACAAGGTTCTTCTGCATCTCACGCATGACTTCAATGAGGCTTTTCATCATTTCAGTACCTCCTGCTGCACCAACAATGTGGCAGATGGCGGACGACTGCGCTTCTGGAAACTCACAATTGATGAAGGAGAAACCGCGCTGAATTTGCGCTTTCCACGGCTAATACTTGTCCATACCGAGTCGGTAGAACCTTCAGTGGAGGGAGAGAGAAATGTAGAGGGAGCAGGTACTTCAAGGGAGTCGGGATCTACCAATGATGGTGGCCCTTGAAGGGCATCATCTATTGCGGTGGGGATCAAAGGTGACATAGAGGTGGTAGAATCTTGAGGAGTTGTGTTGCTTGTGGCGGTGGGTCGGAAGACATGCGACCCTTTGGCCTTGCTTGGTACCAATTGTTCCATGGTCTCGAAGTGATCGAAGCCCTTCATCATGAAGGGCTTTGCATGAGGGTGTGTCTGAAAATAATGTCATAAAAGGGTGGCATGCAATCTATGATGATGTGTACCTTGGTAAATCGTGCCCATACATCATCTTTTCGATCCATAATACCCGCCCCATGCTCGTTACTCCACGTAAAACCTGATGTGCATTTTATTTCAACAACAGTGTGATACACTTTCTTGAGCTATAAAAACATGAGATGACATTGCTGACCAAAACATTCAATAGAAACATACCGCCATGAATTTATTCTTGCACACCACACCGGTCTTCTCTGCGCCCCTTTGATGTGGGTACTTGAGTTTGAGATCGACAGATGCTTGATTGAAAGTCGCCATCTTGAAGCCTCCATCACCTGATGAAGACAGGGCGAGCAGAAGGAAGTCGAGGAAGGTACTTTCCTCCGCCTTTGACCAGACTGCGGGAGCCTTGCGTGTCGTTCCAGAGCCAGCAGCCGAGGCCACATCAATGGCACCTCGAGATCGTAGGGAATGTGAAGAGCTGATACTAGATTTATCAGACATATCGGCAAGGTGATGGTGATGGTACAGATGTGGTCGGCTGATCCCGCTCATGTGTGAGCATCACATGCAGTTTTCAACCACGAATTCTGAATCCAGACTCGCTGTCCAGACTACACCTAATGACTTTGAAAAGGATGAGATTAAGATAAATCTCAGGAACAGTAACTGTTGACTGGCTTGATGCAGTGCTTGGGTACTTGAAGGTTGTTAATCTGTTAACTGGCTTGATGCAGTACTTAGGACACAGATGATAAGGATTGATGATCAATGGTGTAGCCGAATTGATAACTGGCTTGATGCAGTGCTACGATGCTACAAGAAGATGGTTGCAAAGATATGCAAAGATAAGATGAAGAATATGGATCATGACAATATGCAAAGGAATCAGGGTATTATCTTATAAACACTCCCTGTTCTCAAAATCAGAGGAGATCAAACTAAGCCTCTAACACAATTGAATCAACCGAAATATGTGGCTTCAAAACTAACTTCTCTGCTGCTCAGGTACTGCATGATGAGTATGACGCAGGTCAGAACAGAGTACACCCTCGTGATGTAGTCTTAAAATAGCCAAGCTCTTAATATTGTTGAGTAAAGTGCTAGTCTTATTTGTCGTCCTTCCTAATCGTTAAGAAATACGTGAATTCTCCCCACAGAAAATATATCCCGTTGAAGGTGAGGAATCTTGACTATAGGTGAAAACTATAAAAATCAATGGGGACTCTACAGCAAGACCTGGATATGAGAATACGACTCGACCCAAAGGACAGCTACTGAGAGAAGTTCCTCGCTAATAAAATGGAGGGAAACTCTGTCAACTAGGTGGGCACTTAGTAGGTGCGAGAAGGTAATGCGTGCGTAAGCGAGGCGAAGGTGCGCGAGAGGCGCGTGTGAGCGAGAGGTGTGATGGTAGCGCGCGCATAGGCTGAGGCACGCTTCAAGCGATAAGGGAAAGAGTCTTCAAGGAGATAGCAGAAGCACAGATGATAATTGATAAAGGAGTATAATCAGATTTCAAGTGCTGAGGTGGAATATACACTTTGCAGTATACTGAGATAAGGGGGAAAGTCAAAACTCGTCCTAAAGAACCTTCCCTCTTTTTAAGAAGGGGAATTGCGCCCGAGAATTACACTATGTGGTGCGTCTGAGCGCGGTACCGAGCCGGGTAACTATATCAACACTAAATATATTCTAAAGCTTAAGATAGGTGTTCCGCATGTAAGCACGGAAATCGGACTGATGATATGTTAATTCAATGAGACTGATAAGAATAATGCACCAGTAAATCAGCGAGGATGTAGGACAGATGGACGGACAGGAGCACGAAGACCTAGGGTGAGGTGCGTGAACGCATGCGCGAAGCGTGCAAGGCGCATGAGGCGCAAGTGCATGTAAGGCGCGCGCAAGACTGATCTTATGGATAAGAGCTGGAACATATGGGAGTTATGTGGGTAAAGGGGCGCATATTTGGCATTGAGACGCATGAGTCTCTACACCATGTCGTAAAGAGAATGACGAAACTACACTAGATGACTGATAACTGTGTACCAGCTAGCGTAATGTAAGGATTGGCTCAAGGTAGGCCTCAGAAGATCAGTATGTCATGAGAAATGATGATAAATGAATGGAGGGAATAAACTAATATTCACTCAGATGTTCACACAAATATAGGGTGAGAAACTTAGGAAGATACTCAAATCCTCCTTCCTTCTTAGAAGGGAATCTCTCAAGAAGGGGAATCTATTAGTCAGAGGGGAAACAGAGTCCCTTATGTACTACTCTAAATGTGGCTGTGTAACTTTCTAAATAAGGAAATATGACTCATAGCGACTCAGGCAGAAAATGACTCATAATGACTCAGTCATCAAAATGTTCCATGTTGACTTGTTCACTTCTCAAATATTCTCATCTACAAACTTTCTCCACTCAAATATCTGACTAATCCATTTCATGAGAAATGCTGAATAATCTGTTGTGGTATGTTTGGAACTGATCTTTGAACCAGATAAGTATTAATTTGAACAGTTAAGTTGTATTGTAAGGTCTTCAGGTCTGAAAATTACTCAAATAAAATCATAACGCGGTGTAAAAAGTTCATAGTAATTTCATAGAGCAAACATAAGGAACTTCAAAGCTAAAAGGTAGCCATGACCATGCACAAAACTGGTTTGGTGCATGTCAGCACATGAGGGGCACAGCTATACATATTAATCAAGCTTTTAATGGGCCGACAATGTATGTGCCCCTAAGAAATAATCAATAGAAGATAAACAAAGTGAAGACGCACCAGCGAAGTCGAACGGACATGGACAGCACATGGTACAGAGGATCAGAAGTGTAAACAGGCCTAGGAAGGAGACGGATGACCTTCGGATGACTCGGATGAGTGCACAGAACTCTTGGAAGGTAAGAGGAGTGCTGAGGAGTATAATGTGAGATACCTATGAGATTGGCAGGATATGTGCTCGACATGTTTTTCTATAAAAAATGGCTTGAATATTGAATCATAGACAGTATCTCAGACCCTTATCTTCATCAGGCTTAGCTGAGTTGTTGCCAGAGTCAAAATCTGTTTCTCTTTGAACTGTGCAGGTTTGAAACCTGCTAATGATAATATCTTTATCCTATGAAATCACACCTTGACATTTCCTAGTGAAGAGCTTTCTCAAAAACTCATCTTAAATGGTCTTGGCCATGTTATTGCCATAACAGATTCAAAATCTGAGAAATGCATTATTTGACTGATTAAAAACCTGTAGGCTATGATTGAAACATATTTTGAATCTATTGTGGCAATGATATGGAAAAGAGCATTTATGATGGGTTTTGAAGAAAACTATCTACGAGGAAATATCAGGGTTTAATTTCATAGAACAAAAATGTTGTTGTTGGCAGGTTTCGAATATGCACAGTTCAAGAGAAACAGATTTTGAATCTGGTGACAACTTGACCAAGACCAATGAAGATCAATGTCTGAGATGCTGTGTATGAGCTAACATTTAAGGCACATTCTCATAGAAAAATGTGATATTCAATAGGTTTTAAACCTGTCGCATTCCAATAGAAACAGATCTTGATTCTGTTGCAACAACCACTTGGCTAAAGATAACTTTAATCAGCTTGCAAGCAAACAGACCATGAGCATATTTCAAGGTGCATTTTTATAGAAAACAAATGTTGCAACTGGCAGGTTTCAAACCTGCACGGTCCAAGAGAAACAGATTTTAAATCTGGTGATCACTTGACAATTTCATCTTTGGTGGGTTTTGAACCCACGCAGACAGATTTAGATTCTGTCATATTAACTGCTTGGCTAAGAACAGTTAGATGCACCTCCAATGGACCCATTCACAAGTGAACCCTCAAGGCATATTTATCTGCATTTTGTCAGTTCTTTCAATAATATGGTCACCACAATTGATTCTTTTATTCTGCTCTTATCGCAAAAAACATCAGACTTCTCCTGGGCCTCTACTTCAAGACCTGTTTATCCAGCAATTGCTCAAAAAAAGCGCTGACGGCAGACCACCACGGTGGGCCAATGATGTTTGTGATGTTTTGGGATTAACAACCGGGTCACGAGTGACAACTGATAATGGAAGGATCACATATGGTTGAGCTCAAGGGTGATGTTATAAATTAATGTTAGAACTGACAAAATGCAGGATAAATATAACTTGAGGATTCACGTCTGAATGGATTCAATGGGAGTGCATCTAACTGGTCTTAGCCAAGCAGTTAATAAGACAGAATCCAAATCTGTATGTGACAGGTTCAAAACCTGTCAAAGATGAAATTACAAGTGATTATCGGAGTCAAAATCTGTTTCTCTTGGACTGTGCAGGTTTGAAACCTGCCAATGATCACATTTTTATTTTATGAAATCACATCCTGTTCCATACCAAGCACTGCATTTCTGTGTGCGCCCTACATACATACATTACACATCCATCTGTTGTCCAATCCAACACTGCTGGTATATTTTCATCATTTTATTTTTATGTCATGCTGAAGGATACTCCCAGCTACAGAACACAATGTATAGATGCAACAGAAGCATTCTCGCCACATTCTGCTGCAAAACTAGTACAAAGCGGTCACACCTAGGTTGCATTGAAAAAGATAAAACTGACACAAATGGCATCACTTTGGTGAATACTCCAAAATGTCTAACTGTCTCTATTTGCTTGCACTTGGGACTTAGGTCTCTGAGAATCTATACACTGCAAAATATTTTGCAAGCGGGTTTTGAACCTGCATGGTTTGAAAGAAACAGATTTTGACCCTGTTGCATCTACTTGGCTAAGACCAGTGATATGAAGCTCTCAGGAAAGTACACATGGGTCAATGTCAAGGTGTGTTCTAACGGGGAAAAAAACAAACATATATCAATCATGAGGAAATGTCAAGGTGTGATTTCATGGAATAAAAATGTTATCATTGGCAGGTTTTAAACCCGCACAGTCCAAGAGAAACAGATTTTGACTCTGGTGATCACTTGACAATTTCATCTTTGGCGGGTTTTGAACCCACACACACAGATTTAGATTCTGTTATATCAACTGTTTGGCTAAGACCAGTAAAATGCACTTCCAATGAACTCATTCAGAAGTGAATCCTCAAGGCACGTTCATCTGCATTTTGTCAGTTCTTTCAATAGCATGGTCACTGTTGATTCTTTTATCCTTGATGCAAACTTGGAATGATGAGTACAAGAGCAATTTAATTCTCTCCAAAGGTCTTGACTTTGTTGAAGAAGAAGAGCAGATTACACATCAAACTTTCAAGTTTGATCCTAATGACCTGGGGAATGAGGAAGAATACACATCTGTCAAGGCAAAGATTCAAGGCAAAGATTCAAAAGAGCCATCTGGCCACTATTTGCTTATGTATAAGATTGAGGTGCACTGTATTTGAGACCTGCTCTTCTCTCGCTTTTTGAAAGTGTTGTATTGCAGTCTGTTTTCAATTCATCTGTTCAGCTGAGGGAAAACATTGCA